CCGCTCCTTAGAAACTCTATGGGGCAGTTCTACTCTGTCCTATAGAGCTGCTATGAGTCGGAATCGACTTGACAGCAACAAGGTTTTTAAACTGTGAGAGAATAAATTTCTGTTTGTTAAAACCATCCACTTGTGGTATTTCTGTTATAGTAGTACTAGAAAACTAAGGCAGTTTGGTATTAATTCTTCCTTGAATGTTTAGTAGACTACACTAGATTATCCTTTAAAGCAGGTTAAAAATGAGAAAATTATCTTTTATATTTAATCACATATTTACCTTTGCTTTACTCTTCCTTTGTGCAGATCCTTGTTTTCATCTGGTATCACGTTCTTTCTTGTGTGAAAAACTTCTTTTAGTATTTCTTATAGTGCAGGTTTTCTTAAAATAGTGGTCTTATACAATATTTGTCCTTTTGTGACTAAGTTCACTCAGCATAATACCTTCCAGATTCCTCCATGTTATGTTTCATGGATTCATCGTTGTTCTTTATCATTGGGTAGTATTCCATTGTGTGAATATACCACAATTTGTTTATCCATTCATCCGTTGATGGGCACGTAGGTTGTTTCCATCTTTTTGCTATCATGAACAATGCTGCAATGAACCTGAGTGTGCATATATCTATTCATGTGACAGCTCTTACGTCTCTAGGGTACATTCCAAGGAGTGGGATTGCTGGATCATATGGTACTTCTATTTCTAGCTTTTTAAGGAAGCACCAAATTGATTTCCAAAGTGGTTGTACGATTTTACATTCCGACCAACAGTGTGTAAGTGTTCCAGTCTCTCCACAACCTCTCCAACATTTATTATTTTGTGTTTTTTGGATGAATGCTAGCTTTGTTGGGGTGAGATGGTATCTCATTATAGTTTTGATTTGCATTTATCTAAAGGCTACTGATCGTGAGCATTCCCTCATATGCCTGTTAGCCGCCTCAATGTCTTCTTTGGCGAAGTGACTGTTCATATCCTATGCCCATTTTTTAATTGGGTTGTTTGTCTTTTTCCTGTTGAGGTTTTGCAGTATCTTGTAGATTTTAGAGATTAGATGCTGATCGGATTTGTGATAGCCAAAAATTTCTTCCCAGTCTGTAGGTTGTCTTTTTACTCTTTTGGTGAAGTCTTTTGATGGGCATTAAGTGTTTGATTTTTAGGAGCTCCCATTTATCTACTTTTTCTTCTGGTGTTTGTGCATTGTTACTTATGGTTCGTATTCTGTTTATGCCACGTATTAGGGCTCCTAGCGTTGTCCCTATTTTTTCTTCCATGATCTTTATCGTTTTTGATTTTATATTTAGGTCTTTGATCCATTTTGAGTTCATTTTTGTGCATGGTGTGAGGTATGGGTCTTGTTTCAGTTTTTTGCAGATGGACATCCAGTTCTGCCAGCACCATTTGTTAAAGAGACTGTCTTTTCCCCAATTAACAGACTTTGGGCCTTTGTCAAATATCAGCTGCACATAGGTGGATGAATTTACGTCTGGATTCTCAATTCTGTTCCAGCGGTCTATGTATCTGTTGTACCAGTACCAGGCTATTCTGACTACCGTGGTGGTATAATAGGTTCTAAAATCAGGTAGTGTGAGGCCTCCCACTTTGTTCTTCTTCTTGAGTAATGCTTCACTTATCCAGGGCCTCTTCCCTTTCCATATGAAGTTGGTGATTTGTTTCTCCATCTCATGAAAAAATGCTGTTGGAATTTGGATCGGGATTGCATCGCTTTGAGTAGAATTGACATTTTCACAATGCTGAGTCTTCCAATCCATGAGCAAGGTATGTTTTTCCACTTATGAAGGTCTCTTTTTGTTTCTTGCAGTAGTGTCTTGTAGTTTTCATTGTACAGGTCTTTTACATCTCTGCTAAGATTTATTCCTAAGTATTTTATCTTCTTGGGGGCTATTGTAAATGGTATTGATTTGGTGATTTCCTCTTGGAAGTTTGTTTTGTTGGTGTAGAGGAATCCAACTCATTTTTGTATGTGTATCTTGTATCCTGAAACTTTGCTGAAATCTTCTATTAGTTCCAGTAGTTTTCTTGTGGATTCTTCTGTGTATAAGATCATATCATCTGCAAATAGAGATACTTTTACTTCTTTCCTACCAATTTGGATGCCTTTTATTTCTCTTTCTAGCCTAATTGATCTGGCTAGGACCTCCAGCACAATGTTGAATGTAAGAGGGGTGATAAAGGGCATCCTTGTCTGGTTCCCGTTCTCAAGGGGAATGCTTTCAAACTCTCTCCATTTAGGATGATGTTGGCTGTTGGCTTTATATAAATGCCCTTAATTATGTTGAGGAATTTCCCTTCTATTCCTATTTT